GAGAGAGAGAGAGAGAGAGAGAGAGAGAGAGAGAGAGAGAGAGAGAGAGAGAGAGAGAGAGAGAGAGAGACTCTAGTTGAACAGCGAGTCAATTCACAGTTATCGAGGTCGATGTCAGGTCGTGATCTGTTTGGTGACTGACCCCATTAAAGAAGTGGTAGACCATCTTCAAGAAGTGTCAACCTTCACGAAGTGCCAAACAGTCGGCGGTCAGAGGACTCCAGTGCCAAAAGCATTCTTAGGGGACCTTGCGGTCGTGCTCAGAACATATTGGCGTAGCACTAGATGCTCACCAAGCAGTTCTGGATGTCGGTTATATCGACACATCATAAGATGCCTTACACGCAAGCAGCGGCTGCTTGCAGGACCTTCTACCCGGTATGGATCTTTGATAGCAGAGTTTCGCACTCCACCGTGAGATCCACGTCGGATAGGTGGACCTGCCATCCTACCGCTGTTAGCTGTAGTCATCTTGAGGGAGTCGATGAGGTGAGGACCCGGCAAAGAAAACTCTCAGTGGACTTTGCTGCCATGTTTTTGGAACTTATTGGCGTAGGACTAGATGCTCACCAAGGAGTTCAGAATGTCGGTTATATCGACAAATCATAAGATGCCTAACAAGCAAGCAGCGACTGCTTGCAGGACCTTCTACCCGGTGTGGATCTTTGAGAGCAGAGTTTCGCACTCCACCGTGTGATCCACATCGGATAGGTGGACCTGTCATCCTACCGCTGTCAGCTGTAGTCATCTTGAGGAAGTCGATGAGGTGAGGACCCGGCAAAAAAAACTCTTAGGGGACTTTGCTGCTGTGTTTTTGGAACTTATTGGCGTAGCACTAGATTCTCACTAAGCAGTTATGGATGTCTGTCATATCGACACATCATAAGATACAAGCAAGCACCGACTGCTTGAAGGACCTTCTACCCGGTGTGGATCTTTGAGAGCAGAGTTTCGCACTCCACCGTGAGATCCACATCGGGTAGGCGGACCTGCCATCCTACCGCTGTTGGCTGTAGTCATCTTGAGAGTCGATGTGGTGAGGACCCGGCAAAGAACACTCTTAGGGGACTTTGCTGCCGTGTTTGGAACTTATTGGCGTAGCACTAGATGCTCACCAAGCAGTTCTGGATGTCGGTTATATCGACACATCATAAGATGTCTTACAAGCAAGCAGCGGCTGCTTGCAGGACCTTCTACTTAGTGTGGATCTTTGAGAGCATAGTTTCGCACTCCACCGTGAGATCCACATCGGATAGGCGGACCTGTCATCCTATCGTTGTTGGTTGTAGTCATCTTAAGAATCGATGAGGTGAGGATCCAACGATGTTCCAATTGAGACGTGCTCTTGTTTCGTGATGTGCAGGTGCTTACAGGCGTTGCGTTCGATCCCCTCCTCGACGTGAAGCAAAGTGTGAGGGAATTGCTCAGGGCTCACACCAGAAGTGCGATTGAACTCGCACTTTGATGGAGAAGCAGTTGCGCAGTCCATCAGCGCGACGATTTAATATGGACATTGGCTTGTCATTTCTATATCACAGATTGAAAACGCCATCAAATCTTTCTGTGTAGAAGATTCATATCCATTCATACAAGTATCTCTTGTCATCTCAAACATCGAGATGAAAACATCTCAAGTCAAATTGCAAAGCACACAGAGGCATCGCAAACATCGAGGTGAAAACATCTCAAGTTGCGCACTATTTTTCCAAAGGTGAAGTCTCAGAGGAGACGATCAGTTTCCAGAAACCATTCTATGCAGAAAATTCATTCAAGGGCAAATTGCAAAGCACAAAGACTTTCTAAATTGAATGCAAAATATCATACAATGCCACATTGCAAAGTGTACGGAGACTTTCCAAAAATCACAAAGTACATGGAGCCAAAGTGCGAATATGTTCTCATTTCCCATATGGAACCAACAATTCAATCACAAATGCAACGCATCCAAAGTGCGAATATGTTAGCATTTCTCATATGGAAACAACAACCAGCATCCAGTGGAGAGCACGAGATGTATTCCGGGGATAACAAAATTGGCAATCATTTAGTGCACCGCTGAATCCATTAAACAACTTCAAGCACAAGTCAAATTGCAAAGCACACAGAGACATCGCAAACATCGAGGAGAAAACATCTCAAGTTGCCTAGTGTTTTTCCAAAGGTGATGTCTCACAGTACACGAACAGGTACCAGAAACCATTCAATGCAGAAAATAAATTCGAGGGGAAGTTGCAAAGCACACAAAGACGTTTCAAAAAGTCATTGAACGCGAAATATCATACAATCCCACATTGCAAAGTGCACGGAGGCTTTCCAAATATCACAAAGTACATGGAGCCAAAGTGCAAATATGTTTTCATTTTTAACATGGAACCAACAGTTCAATCACAAATGTACGGCATCCGAAGTGCAAATATGTTCGCATTTCTCATACGGAAACAACAACCAGCATTTCGTGGAGAGCACGAGATGTATTCCGGGGATAACAAAATTGGTGATCACTTAGTGCACCGCTGAATTCGTAAAACAACTTCAAGCACACATACATTCTGGCGACAATTGGTTTCCGAATGGAGAACAAGTTCGCAACTGTCATAAGGAACCAACAGACAACATTCAATGGAGACAAGCAATGAGGGTGAACCGTAAAACTGGGCGGCACACACAGAACAAGGACGAGCCAAAACATATGAAAGCTGGGTGGTCGGGGTCGGGCGGGGGAGAGGGGCTTTCACACCACAAAGTCTCGCGAACGAAAGAGATAAGCACGAAACAATTTGGCGACCAAGAAAAAATCGTCGATATCTTTCACATGAGTAAAAGAGGAGCACAACCTAAGCTTCTACTTCACGTAAGCGTCCGATGCTTCCCTCTGGCTGATGTTGCGCGGCAAGCAATGAGAACAACCCGAAAACAAACAAAGGAAGCACGACGCTCCCGAAAGTCTTACGAGTAAAGATGACAGGTTCCACGAAATGAAGAACCCTTAAAAAACTGATACAGCACGAGGCTGGGATATTCACATCGACACCTAAGCCTGTACTTGACCAAAACGTCCACTGCAATCCGGCACCTCATGAAAACAAGAGCACAGCTCGAACCGGCTGACTGCTAGATCAAGTGGGAATAGATTCGCACTTCTGCTTATGACATTTTGAAAAAAAAAACTACGCGTATTTTTACAACAGTAGTATCATTCAGCGCCTTGGAGTATGTCCACCGCAATCCTCTGCCGGATGTTTGGAATGTCGCTTTGGGCTATCGAAAATGGTGGCGGACAGCCGCGTGCAAGAAATGAAGCGAAGGCGAGCATGAAAACACCGCAGCTCGACCCGTCCGATTGTTGAGGGAGACCACGAACAACCACCTTGGGCTCCTAAAGATCCACTTTCGTATTTGGACCATAATGACAAACTGCTTCGTCACGGAGGTATTGCATGAAGTTCGCAATCACATCGGAAGAAAAACCACCATCGTCTTGTACGAGGGAGTCGTAGTACTCCAGCCGTTGTTCTCGGACAGAGAATAGGGTCCAATGCACTCTATGTTTATAGATAGGAATCAAGACCATATCGTGCGAGAAAGTATCCACATATTTTGTCCATCTCGCAACCCTATCATGTCGATAGCCGCCACGGACGAGCTTGGTATAGAAAAATGGACTGAAAATGTAAAGAGAGGGACACCCAGGCAACGCAGCATTGGCAAGCAAGGCCAAGTACGACTTCACCACCTTGTCGGAAAGCCATTCCCCCTGAACAAGAGTTTGAAGACTTTTTCTGCTAAATGGAATTGAACTGACCCCTTTACGAACCGAGCACGCCACCTCATGGCCGTTGCTGTAATCTCCACAGACGTTCGGCAACATTCTCAAGTCCGTAGTGCTAAGTTCCTCAGTAGGCAACGGAACGCGAAAACATGATGTAGCCCCAGCTGCACAAACACCAACGAACAAGTGTGAGAAGTGAGCACAAACCCCGTGGTGGAATGGCTAAGAACTGTCTGCCCTTTTCCCAGAAAAGTTGTATCCCCGCTTGTTGAATGTGTCCTTCGCAATGTACTTAGGACACGGGTCTTTCAAGACACCCCGTTTGTCATCCTCATCAGACCGGTCAGACAAAGCAGTAACGCTCTCAATAGACGCAGCCAAATCTTTCCGCAGACCTTCCTCCTTATCTATTCCACAAGCCTTCAGAACCCTGACAGCTCTCTGGGAAAGGCGAGGCATCTGGACCCTTTTGAACAACCCTACACTTGACAACTTCTTCGGTGAAGCGGCCAATGACCTCCCTGAAAGACGTTTCTCGCGCACGGCTTTTAAAGGCTTCATGGGCAGGGACATTAACAACCTCACACCTGTAGAACATAGAAAACAACCCACAGCCCACAAGCTTTTTTTTAACTAGTGGTAACAGGTACATTATCCCATGACATCAATTTGGATGAACACAGAGCTGGCCAGTGACAGATATGCGAGTTGTCCTATTCACAAATCTTACCGTGCTCGGGAGCCCTTTGAAGGAGCTCACCCTCCTGTCGCGCCACTGTGCCAACGTCCACGGACGATTCGAGGTTCTGGACCTCGGCCACGACTGTGTCGCTAACTAGCTCGGTGGCGGCTGAGTCGCTTGGCAAGTCGATGGGTTCATGAAGCACCATTTCCCGACCGGTACTGAGGACAGATGCTCGATCACCCTGTTCAGCACCGCAACAGGTGGACGGAGAATCATGATCTTTCCGCTCCGGATCCATCTTGATGCTGACGGCCACCTCACCGCCTTCCACGGAGGATTCGACGTTCTGCATCTCAGGCATTTCCTAAGTCGCTAACCAGCTCGGTGGTTGCCGAGTCGTCACCCAACTCTATGGCTTCATGAAGCACCATTCCCCGAGCGGTGCTCAGGACAGACGCTCGACCACCCTGTTCTTCACCGCAACGGGTGGGCGAAGAATCACTATCTTTCCGCTGTGGATCCGTCCGGATGTCGACAGTCACCTCACTGCCTTCCACCACGGGTTCTCCGCCTTTCTCATCGCCATGAACCCGAGCTTCCACCGCGGGTTCTTCTTCGTCTTCATCGTCGCTAAGAACGGGAGCTTGCACTGACGTCCACTTACCTACCTTAACGACACCCTCTCGCGTCGTGGCCGCAGCTGAGCGACTGTGCAGAATCTCTTCGGACGTCCCGATCACCAGCGCTCGTGCGTGGAGCCACTTCACATCTTCACGAGCTGGCCCGTGTCGAGTCTCCTCTCCCCGCTGTAAAGCATGCGTTTCCCCCGGAGCTCCTGCACTCTCGCTGTCAGTGTCCACGGACGCACCCTCCGAAGCATGACGTTCACACTCGCTACCCCCAGTCTCCAACACTTTGCGAGACTGTCAGCGTTGAGTCTCCTCTTCCCGATGTACAGCACGCATTCCCGGAGAGCGCTCGTCTTCCCGAGGAGTGTGACGTTCGTTCTGGCTATCCCCGGTCTCCAACACTCCTGGAGCGGGCCCCTCCAGCACGTCGCGAGACCGCCAGTCTCGAGTCTCAACACATGAGAAAGGAGGCGAGCAGGGTAGCCCTGTGTCCAACTGAAGATGCGGGGGTCAGGACGTCACATTTTTTTGGCCCCGCGGAACTGTTGCGTGAGGAGCACTTATGGCGTAGGGCGATGGCAGCAAATCCGAATGTATTCGGAGTTTGTGGCGGTCGCCCGAGCCGAGGGAACCGGAAGKCGCACCTTCGCTCCTTCGCAATGCAGGCATCCTGCCCTCCAGGCAAAACCAAGACGCGCCCTCTTTCAGGAGCAAGGTGTTGAGCACAGGAGACCTCTGCTGCGCACAGCGGGATGGACTCTCCTGGGCAACGGGAAACAAACTCCTCGCAGACAAGTGCGAATCTACTGGCACTTGATCAGACGTCAGGGTGGCCTCGTCTCACATGTCAAAATCTTGACTCCCGACGCAGTGGGGTTCAGTTTCCATATACTGGGAATTCCCGGACGTTCTACGCTTTCCGCCCGACCCCTTCCCGCCCGAACCCTTCCCGCCCGACCCCTTTCTGCCTGACCCCTTTCCGTCGGACGCCTTCTCAACCGACGATGTCTCGCCCATCCCCTTTCCGGCAAACTGTGAGCCGTCTCCTCCACCACCTCCGCCGTCTCCTTCGTCTCCTCCACCACCCCCTCCCGGATGCTGACCGGCCGGCGGAGGTTGCAGCATGCGCCAGTGAATGCCACGAGACGGTGCCGTTTCGAGTGCGTAGATAGGCGCTCGAAACTCCAACATGTTGTTGGCGTACAACTCATGTAGCTTTTGTTCTGCATACGCATCGACGTCCCGATCGTTCCTCTCGGGGTTCATGAGACTCAAATGCTCCACCAGAGCAGTTCTTGCCTTTCTCTTAAATGCACCCACACCCAGTCTCTTCAGTCCACTCCACTTCCCATCGGCCTCCTTTATTGCCATGACCCATATTCCATTCTTCACAGCAGGTTGGAATATCCTCGGTGCCAGACGACGTTGTGTCCCCAGACATCCTCCGACGTGAACCGGTGATGCTTGCCGAAGAAGTAGAGTCTGTCATTCTGCCAGGTGTCATGGTCCACAGGGAGCCTGTCACAAGGTTCGTGATCACAGTCTCTCTCTTCCTCCCCGTCATCAGACGATTGGTCATCGACTGGTTCGCCCCGAAACACACGCTTCAAACCGGCAGGGGACTTGCTATATCTCCGAGGGCCACCTTCCTCTTCATCGCCAACCTGTCCAACCACCCGAGGAAGTGGCATGCACTCGAAATCGAAGGTTTCGGAGTCGCCCAGCTCCTCCATGTCGTCAGCGTCGAAAGGTTCCTCCTCGTCAAACTGTGACTTGTAGTTTTCGAGAGTGAGCGTTTCGGCCAGCGTGAAGTAAATGTGCTCCAACCTTCTCAGGAAGTGCGAGACAGACTCCCTGGGTGCACCATGGTACCCATTGAGCACAGCGAACACCAGGTTTCTCCGTCGACTGTATTCGAGGTCGGTCGGACCAAGCGGTCCGGGTCCGAAAAGGAAGTCCCAAACGTGTGTCCTTTTGTTCCCCGACAATTTCCAATACATGTCACGTTTGGGATCCCAGTTTTGTTCGCTGGTGGTCTGGACAGACTCGCAAGCATTGCGAGTGTCTGCAACGCGTGCCTTCACGAACTCGTGAAGGTAATCGATCATCTTCGCCTCCTTCTCCAACGCGACGATGTTCCGACCGGTGCGTAGGAGTTCCCACATGACAGACGCATGCGCCTTCCCAAAGAAAAAAACAGTTTGACCAGCTTTGCAAAAGTTTTCGAGTAGACCAAGTAGACGGGACGGGTTCCGCTCCATCTCCCCGTAAGCAGGTCCTTGAGAACTTGTCACGCCGGCGTCCTCCCACATGCTACGAGAGAACCTTTCCTCTTCCGCCACGTCGAAACACGCCACAGCCTGTCCTGATGGTTCCGACGAACAGACAACTTTCGAGCGGCCCGCCACCGTGTGTTTGGCCGGACTTGGACCATGAGCAAGGGAAGCCTTTGTCGGGCTACTGGCCGGGTAAACTGCGAATGTGTTGTCTCCCAGCTTCTCGCCATTAAAAATCACGTACAGGCGGTCACACTCCTCAACCAGCATATTGCCTTCCCGGACAGTGGCCTGCTTTTGTGCATTACGTACCCACTTCCCTGTCCTGACGTGATGGACGCTAAGCCTGGCCATGCCTTTCAAGAAACTGAGCTCCCAATGAGAGGGGGAAAAGATCACAAGTGCCCAGTGCGTTGGTGAAAGTGTTTGTAGAAGGCCTTGCAAGTTGGCAAAATCGTCTTCTCGCCAGTCTGTGAGGAGTGTGGGATCACACAAATCGAGGACGTACAGGTTGCACACGTAATGTCGCACAACCTCACGGATCGCAGTTGCATGACTGTGAGCTTGGGAAGGCGGGAAAGCGAAAGGAATAAGGCTGGTCACCCGGTTGAGGTCGGGCCATTTGATGTGCCTCACATCCCCGCGGACCCTGATCGTGTCTCGAACTTCTTCTTCCGTCCGTCGCAAGATGGAACGGACAGACTTTTCCAAAGATTTAGGGAACCTGTCATCATCGTACAATTTCTTCGCGTCGTCGAGGGACTCCTTCTCGTGCGGAAGAGTACGTTTGCAAGTGTTCACGTACTCCACCACACCCTGGAAATGCTTTCGCATTTCAACCCACACCTGTTTCGTGAGGCCCTGCGGCCCGTACTCCTCCAGAAGCTTCCCCTCGGTCCGAAAAAAAGAGCTCCCGTGGCGCCAAACACATTCGTCCTCCTCCGTTTCAAGGAACAAGATGTAGTGGAACATACGGAGCATCACACGGTCCACTTTCCTCGTCTCGACCATGTCCGTAATTCCTGGTTTGTGCTGACGCTTCAGATGGTCGCCCTCAGATTGCACGAACACTCCCCTTAGCGAGGGAATGTCCTCAAGGATTGAACAGTTTCTCGGCATCGGTCATGTCAGCGAGACACTGCCAACAGAACATGTCTGGCTCCTTCACCACCACGAAAAACTTGTCGTTCGTTTGCGTTTTCTTTTTGGTCGGAGGCGGCGGGACCCGGACCAGCCACCCCATCTTCGTTTCACCAGCCGCCCCTTTCGAGCCCATTTCTGGAATTTCTTGCAGACCCGGAGATTTGTCTGGCATGTATTTGCCCGGCCTCGACAATGGCGTCTTGCCGTCGCCGCCCAACAACTTCCTCTCTGCCCATTTCGCGTAGAATTTCATTGCTTTGTGGAAAACGTCGTCACCGGCCGTCACGAGCGGCATCCACTGCCTCAATGCATTGCCAACTGCAGCGACACACTCCTTGTCGGAGAGCGACGAATCTTTTTGTGACAACGTCCAGTGAGCTCCGTTCGGACTCTTTCCCAAAATCAGCTTTTAGAAATCGAAGAACTTTTGTTTTTCGGCCTCCTTGCCGGAAGGGTTCCCTTGAATGGCCACCGGCCTTACTTCATTCTCCCATGCCTCCCGCATGTCCAAGAACGAGGCCTTCTGCGATCGCTGCTTAGACATCTTGTGTCTCGCGTTCTCGTTGAGACTGACCTGCCTATATCCCGCGAAATCTCGGTCGGATAACCACACTACTCTCGCCGGCCACGAGTGCATCTTCCACAAATTGAATATTGGCTCACCCTCCAACTCCTTCACAGCAGCCACGGTGTGTTGTCCGTTAACAGGGTAATAGTAGTACTTGTCCTTGTCCTCTGGCTTGAAGACAACTTTGTGAACCCTGTCAACTTTCTCCGGCCTACGTGTCACCGGCTTGTAGATGGGTGCCAAAACCAGAGGGTTTTTCGTCCTGATCTTCCCCTTTTTCTCGCGGAATTGACTCAGCATCGTACCCTTGATGTCGTCCACAGTTTCGCGACTTAGACTGCGGTGGTTGTAATATCTTTCCCAAGCCGGGATCTCGTAGACCTTCCTGGGGTCGATGAGCAGTTGGACGGGGAGCTCCTTCTCCACGATTTCACCGACATCGTTCCACTCGTATTCGAGCCAAAACGCTGTTGCTTCGTCGTACTCCTTACCGACAGGCCCTTCGCTACCGCTCGCCTCCTCATTAGTCTTCTGCCTTCGAGTTTTCTTCTCGCCATCGCCTTCTTCACCTGCCACTTTCCGTTTCGATTTCCTTGAAGGTTCTCTCGCGGCCGCAGCGCCGGGATCAGCCGAATCTCCTCCACCCGCGGCTTGTCCTTCGCGGATGGTCAAACCGTCGGGCCTCCTCGCTTTTTTACTTGTCGTCCCACCCTCTTCCTTCGTCGGCCTCTTTCCCGAGGCACGTTCTCCGTCGCCACCTCCATCCCCGCCCATCAACGCCTCCGGTTTCCTCTCATCCTCTTCATGCGGAGAGTTCCTTCCGCCACCTCCTCTCGCACCATCCTCAATCGCTCGCTCTTCTTCTCTGAAGGAGTCTGCTCCCCGCCAGAGCTTTCACGGACAGCGCCCATCCCTTCAGCCTCATTCCCTCCAACATCTAGCCCCGATCTGCTTGAATCTCTTCTCGTCTCATCTCGAAGCGAATACGTGTCAGCGCCGCAATGGACCTTGATAAGTTTCGGAGTACCGACCCGTTGAGTCCCTGTACCCTGAGAATGGAAGTCCGACGTGTTCCTAGGAGCATCCGGGCCGACCTGTGTGTGAACACTGCGTCCCTTGACCCGAACCCCAGCGTCTTGAATCGGACTCCCGCGCCCCACTGCCGTACGTGGAGTTTCTTGAGCCAAGCCGGACGACTCCTCACGGGGTGGCAGAAGCCGGAAAACATGCTCTGGCGGAAGAACCGAACGTTCTTTCGGCACCGTCAGCGCGAGATCGAGATATTGCTATGGCGATGGAAGACGCTTGCTGCCGCCATCGTAAAGGCCTTTGAAGTGAGAGCACAACGGCATGTTCGAGCCGTACCCCGCGAAACTCTTGATGGTCACCAGCACACCTTTAACACCTCTGATAGGCAGTCTGCACTCGTCGTACATGCCGTTAGTGTGCAACTTGAGCAAACCTCCAGGAGTCTTCGCGCACGAGACGACGGTACCGAGAGGAACAACGTTGACCGCTCCCCCACCGTCTGTAACGCAAGTGGGTCGCATGAAAACAGCTGGCCCAAAAAGGTCCCCCTGAACAACGAAGTCCAAAAACCATTGTGCTCCCTTTGCGTGCATATACTGAGGAGTAGGTTGCTGTACAGGTCGTCCCTCCCTGGGGGCAGATGGTATAGCGCTTGTGGATGTGTTCTTTGCGGACGCCATTGTATTCCCACCCGTTGACTAGCACGCCCAACCTCAGACCAACTCAGATCACTAATACGCCCAACCCCTGACCACTACAAAAGCGAAGTGCGAACTAACTCGGACTTAACGAAATGGAGGACGAAAAGGACGTAAGAGATGGGTGTTCGAAATGCACACGAAGTCACAACAATCGGGTGAAGGATAGGAAAGACAGAAGTTCGGAGGGAAGACGATAACTATTCGGAAAGATTGCGACCCAACTAGATGCCCTCGAAACGAGTAAGATGTGGTTTATCGACAAGTGCGAAGGGTGTCGACAAGTGCGAACTAACTCGCAGTTCTGTAGACAAGACAACAATGGCAACCCGCTGCACTAGAAGAAAGTGCGAACTAACTCGGAATTGTGGAACTGAAGACCTCAAAGACGCTCGGAACGAGTAAGATGTGGTTTATCGACAAGTGCGAATCGAAGTACAACGGAACGAGTAAGATGTGGTTTATCGACAAGTGAGAACTAACTTGCAGTTCTGCTGACAGGACGACAATTGCAACCCGAAGTACAACGGGAAAGTACGAACTGACTCCGAATTGTGGAACTGAAGTCCTGGTTTATCGACAATTGCGAAGGGTTTCGACAAGTGCGAACTAACTCGCAGTTCTGTAGGCAAGATAATAATGGCGATGCGCAGCACAAGGGGAAAGTACGAACGAACTCGGAATTGAGGAACTGAAGACCTAAAAGCCGCACGGGTTGGGTTGTCAACTCTCCAGCAGTGTTGCTCAAAAAGTGCGAACTAACTCTCATTTGTGGAAATAAAGAACTGCCTTTAATGAAATATGTGTCTAACCTTGGGAAAACTGCAAATAACCTCGCAGTTGTCACTCCTCGAACACTGTACGTCGCAAACTGCAAACTGACTCGCAATATCTCTCTCTCTCTCTCTCTCTCTCTCTCTCTCTCTAT